TGGAGGAGGCAATCCTTGACTATTAACAAGCTTTCTTGGACCCCTCTTCCCTCCAGGGCTTTATCCCATGCTACTCTGCCAAGCAGATCCCTGAAAAGGCCAAAGCCTTCTTTCCTGAATTCCAGGATAGTGAGCTTGCTGTGTGCCCTGCAGTTAAGAAAGTTGTCTATTAATTGCCACTTACATAAGGTGTATCAAGATTTTGTCCAGGTTGATGTGATCTTGATAGACCTTTTAAAAAGGACTTTACATTGACATTGACTTTACAGTAAATGAATTACTGTTAAGGTGCATATCTTTCTTGAAGCTTGCTAAAAGAAATTTCAACTGGCAGTTATCCCAGAAAATGATTTTTTAAAATCCAATTACAACCATTTCTTTTGAATCTTCTGTTTATCCCCACCTTCTAAAGTACCTAATTGGTATTTGCAATGACATTGAAGGTTTATGAATTACGAGTTTATGACCAGTACTTTCATCACCTTCCTTCAGCTATTTTCTGAACAATTAGTTCCCCCAAATGGCTGCGTCACTGAAGCCTTCCTTCGCAAATCTCCAGGGATGGTATCCTCTATGAAGCAGAATGACTGGGCAAGATCAATGAAGATAAACCACTGGATTTGCAGTGATACCGAAATAATTTCCATTCTCCTCAACTGCGTCCTGTCAGAGCAGCATGATTTCTAGATAATGCCCACTTGAAGTTTGACATGGTTGGTTGCTGAAACTGATAGAGGCATATAAAAGCTGAAATACAGTCTTTGATGATGCATCTAGCAGTCTCTCTCAGACAGATGTTCCATGCTTCAAGAGAAAAGAACCAGTGTTCTCATCTTCAGTAGTGATTTGTGTGGTTGCAGGGTTCAGGCACCATCTTGAGTCCGTAGGTTTATCTGCATAAACCTTATTCCTAAGTTCTCTTATTTCCATAGTGAGAAAAATCTATTTGTGATTTCTTCATCTGTAAAGGTTGAAAAATGTATTAATAATTACAGATGCTCTATGTCTAGCTCTCTTTATGTCAGTTTTCATTTGTTGATATGAAAATATTTTGATCTGCTTAAACCCCATTATTTATATTAACCTTAATATGAAACGAGTACCTTGTAACTTGAAAGACTGTGCCTTCAAAAAAATTGAAAGCCTTTAAAGTTCACAAACACTGCATGAGAGGTGTTAAGAGAACATGTGGATCTGCTAATAAATGTATTTTCAATTAATTGCAAAAGTGTTTAAAAATCCCTTGTATATAAGTATCTTCTGACTTTTAGGAAAGACTTCCAAGACTTTCTTCCTTTATACAGTAGCACAGAAATGGCTTTTTTCATAGGAGCTTGTCTTAAGTCTTGCATTACCCACATTGTATATAAGATGTTGCTTTTGAATATTGATTTGCCCACATTTGGCTAATATATTTGATATTACAACTCAAAGAGATTACCTCGAAGCTGTTGACCAGTTGTTATTCCTTATAGAAATATAACTTCATATGTATTTTAAAAGTTACTTGTGTTGGGACAATACAGAGATATGTGAAATCTACATCTATGAGAAACCCAAAATGATGTCTTAAGGTTATTATTGTTGCTTATGCTAATAATACAGTATCTAGATGCATTGATTTCTTCATATGTTAACTTTTGTTTAACAGATCTGCTTTTGTGTGAGTGCTGCTTTATGTTACACTTTTCTCTGAGGACAGAGATACTGGAGCCAAGATGCTGGCAAGATTGTACTAGCAGAAAGAAGCCTTAATTGCAGAAAGAAACCTTAAATAGAATCATAGAATAGTTTGGGTTGGAAGGGACCTTTACAGGTCATCTAGTCCAACCACCCCTGCAATGAGCAGGGACGTGTTTGACAAGGTAGGTTGCTCAGAGCCCTGTCCAATGTCACCTTGAATGTTTACAGGGGTGTGGCATCTACCACCTGTCTGGGTAACATGTTCCCTTGTTTCACCACCCTCATCATAAAAAATTTATTCCTTATATCTAGTTTGAATCTACCGTCTTTTAGTTTAAAACCATTACACCTTGTCAAATTTCTACAGGCTCTATTAAAAAGTCTGTCCCCGTCTTTCTTATAAGCTTCCTTTAAGTGCTGAAAGACCACAATAAGGTCTCCCCAGAGCCTTCTCTTCCCCAGGCTGAACAACTCCAACTCTCTCACCCTTTTCTCACAGGAGAGGTGCTCCAGCCCTCTGATAATTTTTGTGGCCCTCCTCTGGACCTGCTCCAGCAGGTTCATGTCTTTCCTGTGCTGAGGGCTCCAGAGCTGGACACAGCACTGCACATGGGGTCTCACCAGAGCAGAGTAGAGAGGCAGAATTGCCTTCCTCAGCCTGCTGGACACGCTTCTTTTCATGCAGCCCAGGATATGGTTGGCTTTCTGGGCTGCAAGTGCACACTGCCAGCTCATGTCCATCGTTTCATCCACCATTACCCCCAAGTCCTTCTTCACAGGGCTGCTCTCAATCCCTTCATCCTCCAGCATGTGTTGATACCAGGGGTTTCCCTGACCCATGCACAGGACCTTGCACTTTGCTTGTTGAACCTCATGAGGTTCACATGGCTCCACTTTTGGAGCTTGACCAGATCACTCTGAATGGCATCCCATCCCTCAGGCATGTCAAACACACCACTCAACTTGTTGGGTGCAAAATTGCTGAGGGTACATTTGATCCCACTATGTCATTGATGAAGATATTAAATAGTACTGGTCCCAGTACAGACCCCTGAGGGACATCACTCGTCACTAACTTCCATCTGGACATTGAGCCGTACTCGTTGGATGCCACTACCCAGCCAATTCTTTATCCGTCAAATATTCCATCTATCAAATCTATATGTTTCTGATTTAGAGAGAAGGATGTTGTGAGGAACCATGTCAAAAGTTTTACAGAAGTCCAGATAGATGATGATGCAACTCCTATGTATACTGTCAAATAACACAAAGGCAAATTTAGAAACTGAGGAAGTGGAGTTACCTGACAGTAGAGAAATTTTTTTTTGCATAAGTTGTTAGATACTGATTTTCTGAAAAGTAGATCTGTATAGACTTTGGCATACATCAATATATGGTTGATAGTACAATAAGGATGTTTTTGGGAAAAAGACTGAGTTACACAGGAAACTGAAGAACTTCCCTAAATATGAACTATTTACACATGATCTTGGATTACGGTGTGTGTTATTTTTCCAAAATGACTGGTTATGCCAAAAATAGTTTTAGCTTATTCCCACAATAAAAAATGTTGCTAGAAATTTTAAGGTTGAAAGTCTGCTTTCATGGAGTCCAATGTCAAAAAAATATTTTTATTGTATAACTTTGTTGTTGTAGTACTTTCTTCTGCTAAGAAGAGTCTTTCAGAGACAAGGAATTGAGGAAGCATCCCACTGCTCACAGAATTTCTTGAAATGCACTATAGTCCTAATCCCTTAAAATAAGAAATTTGCACAGACTTTAAAGCAGAGTCAACCTTTCTAAATGATAAAATGCTTAGTGCTCAGCTAGCAAATCACATTGATGCTCAGATCAGAATTAATTATATATAGCTTTAAAGATGTCTAATGTTCCCTTTTAGAATTTTAACAGATATTTTGATCTTGTTCCTCTGGTAGTATACCAGAACACGTTTTCTAAGTGTATTTGTACATTCTGTATCTTAGTGTTTGCATGAATGATGTACTGCGATTTTCCAATCTTGCATCAGAATACTTTGTTGTATTGATTATTTTTCTAATCTATTTTAAATTGCACAAAAGGACTCCTATGGAGACATAATCATATTACTTTTTAAAAAATCGAGTTCTAAAAAAGTAAGAAATGCAAGATATGAAGTTATCCCTGTGGCTTAAATACTTCCCCTTTTCAAATCACATGCAATAGTAATGTTTGTTACCCATCTTTAAGTCTGCTTTTGATTCCTGTATCCCACCCTGACTCTTTGGCCCTCTTGTTCTTTTCCTGCTTGTCCTGTATATATCCAAGTTTCTTTTCCACACTGTCAGCTCCACAGTTAAGAGATAAGGAAAGACCGTTTCCTTGTTCTCTCTTGGGAGTTTGTACCTGAAGCTATAGTTTTAGGAAAAATCCAGCCCAGCCTGAAGCAGGAGCTTGTTCAATAGAATGTAATCATTGGAAAAATTAGCTGCTTGAAGTGTCTGTTGAACACCTGCCAAGAGTTTACAACTTTGCCAAATTTGGGCAGGTTTTCAGACAAAGCAGACATTGCTGTGTCAAATATTAAGGTCTTTGTCTAATGCATGGATGTGTTACTAGATATTTTTTTTTTTTTTTTTTTTTTAATACAGAGATACCTGGGGATGGCTGGCATTTCCTGTTGAAATTACTTTTAGAAAATTATCTGAGGCAAATACCTAGAGCAGAACATTGCACCCAAATAGTTATTATTCAGCAAAGATAGAAACAACTGCAAATTAATTGTTATAATCTGCAGTTTTAGCACTCCTGATTTGTAGGCCTTATTACCAGCCTTACTTCATGTAGGTGTGTGGCAAAACTAGTTTTTAACATAGAAGGCCAAATTCTATATTCTAGAATATCTGCAATTCCACTGATTTACGTGGGACTACAGAAAGTGTAAATCAGCATAGAATTTTGTCCTCATATTTAAAAGCCTCGCTAAAGCTACTGAACCTTCATTTTCCTGAGGTTTTTGTTTTGGTGCTGTTGGTTGTCTGCCATGACACTGAAGCTAAAGCATCTGTTTACCACATTAACCAGCTTTACTTAGCTATTAATCTATCACCTTGTATTTGGTGTGCAATATATTAAATTTTAAAATATTTTTTGAGGAGAGGAAAATGGCAAAGAGCAAGAAGTGGTAGCTTTCTTAATGCATTAACTGGAAGTCAGTGTTTTATATTGTCTTTTTTGGAGTTTTGTTGGTTGGGGGGGGTTGTCTGTTTGGTTTTGTTTTGTTTTGTTTTGTTTTTTGTCCTGGGATCTATTTATAACTGACTGAAGCACTTTTGCAGGTGGTGTTTTTTTGCATGCTAATCCTGCAGAGAAACATTGTGTCCAACAAAGTATGCTGGGTCAGCAAAACCAAGAAACTTGTACTGGAAAGACAGTATCCACAGGTATTTAGTGTGTATGGAGATTTGGCAAAATGAATGATTAACTGTCATTGACAGAAATAAATCTAGTATTGTCTGTTATAAAGTTGTGCATTTTTTTTTTCTTTCCCGTAGAACAGATATTCTAACTTTCAAAGTCAGCAAAAGACTCTGCAACGTAAACATGCATTTAATAAAAAATTTCATTAACATTTTTATCTGTATTCTACCTTTCCCTTCAAAAAAGATTATCCTTTTCCCGTGTTATTTTCTGTCACTTATCCAGTCATACACAAATTAAATACCTACCTACACAAGTGAGATGGTCCTACAAAAGATTATTTTAGAAATTAACACTATTACAAGGTGGTTTTTGGCATTTTGGTGGTTTATTTTAATGTTCAAAATAGACCCGATTAGTGGGGAAATTTAAATTTCTTCTGTTGCTTTCTGCACTGCCTGAGTTCAGCTCTGTTACGTGCTTTACATAGAGAACAAACTGAAGGAGGTACAAAAAGAAGGCAGAACAGACTGGACTAGACCAGACTTGAATGACTTAGGAAGGGATGGGAACAGTGAATGAGCAGCAGCCCTGTGGAAGACTATTTCCTCTGGAGGACTCTTCCCAGTGTGGCTGTATTGGAAACTTTGATGCATCATTGAATTTTTTTTGTATTGGTGTATCGCTGTCCAGTCTTATTAAGGTTATTTAGAAGGGGTGAAAGCTTATGACATCCTGCAAGTTTCTGAACGATACTTACAGGTGCTAGCATGGTAACCATCTAAAGTAAACGGATTGAATTGCATTTGATTTAACCTTGTGCTTAATTATTTAAAAGTGTCTACCTGTTGCCTCAACTCCATGCCTGTGTGAAAGATTGAGAACACAGCAGTTAAAAATGCGCTTCACATCATTCAGATATTAAATCTATTTTTTTATTAATTTCCTTATTTTTAATTAAGATTTTAGAGAAAGTATAAAAATTGGTGCCTTCCAGTGAAGGACCTGTAGACAGACATGTAGAAAGAATGCTGGCTAAAACAAGGGCCATCCTTAAAAATGCCATTGCAGAGCCTCCCTTAACTGAAAATTCCCCTTCTTAGATGCAAGACTTCATGGGTCTGCATAGTCATGAAGGCTTTTCCTCAGGTCACAACTGACAAGTCAAAATGAGTCCTTTGAATCAGAGACAGAAATAATTTGGAAGGAGGTGTGGAATAGAAGTGGAATGTCCCTGAAAGATGCATATTAAGCTTCCAAGTGGCCTTCTGGTAGCCAGACAGCCAGAGTGTATTCCAGTCCTTTAGTGTCAGGATGGCGAAGACATGAATTACTGTAGCACTCTCTGTGTGCAGAGGAAATTGTTGAAAGTTTGCTGAGTGTAAGTGGGAAAAATAGTTTTGTTCACGGATGATACTTGCACTCTCTGGGTGGGGTCGGTAGGACCTCCGGACTGTGAATTAGCTGGTGGCTTTTTCCTGACCCAAGATGGTAAATAGTCTTTCACCAGTTCTTCCAATTAACTTTCCCAGTCCACATGCAAAGTCTTAATCAAGTCTGCATCTAGCCCATCTCTATATTTAGACACTGACTAAGCTGCTTAACTACAGCAGCTGTGTTGGATGAGAGGGAAATACAGAGGTAAGTATCCTTTGCTTACCAAAGGCACTGCAGTGAATATTTCTGCACTAAACTGTCTAATGTAAACTTGGGGAAAAAGAAAAAAAAAATTGTACTGAAGGCTGGTACCAGATACAGCTTGCCTGGAAGATGTATTCATGATAAAATTACACTAGTTGGAAAAAGAACATTTGTATAGAAATCCCTTCTCAAACAGTTATATCAGTGCTTAATATTGTGTTAACTGCATAAGACAACAATCTAAATGGACCTTGTTTCAAAGAGCATTTTGTGGTTAATATTCATGAAGGTCTTGGCTTCTAGAATGGTACTTTCTTGTGGAATGCTGAGAAAATATGTGGAGATATCATCTTTAAAGAAAAAGTGATTTTACTGTCTAATTTTGCAATAGGCAAGTCAGCGTATTTGAGAAGCATATGCTTATTTTTAAAACTAGTGTAACGCATTATTTCTACTAATATTTCCTTCTAACCTCAAATTATCCTTTATTTTGTGGTGCTTTGAGTGCCATTTCTGCACTTCTGTAGAGGTGGCATGTCCACAGCAAAAATTCCATCTTTTCCTGAACTCACATCATTTGCTACTGTTGGCTGGAGAGTGAGTGCCTTATAACTTGGAGCGTAAAGTAACACAGGGAGCAGTCTGCTGAGGTTCAGGCTTGCCTAAAATGTTTATACAAATCAATGAATGAGATTTTGAAATAAAAAGGGAGAGGTACAAGCCAAACATGAGAGAGAATGGAAACTGCTTCATGTTGAATATTGTGGCAAGCTGAGTAACTGGTGATTTGGAAAAAGTCTTGAATGTCAGTATATGGCAAGCATAGTCTGGAAAAATAAGAGCAGACTGTGTCCCCTAAAAGAAAAATACATTTTTTCTGTCATCTGCTGTATTTAAGCTGTACAGTTTGGCCTCTTAACTAGCATTAAAGTTCAGGGCTAGTTTGGTTAATGATTACAGCACTTTACATCATTTTATTGTACTTCTCAAAGGCTCTTAAAAGTGTTTCCTCAAAAGCAACAAAAAGAAGATACCCTGCAGGAAACAAAAAATGACCTGAATATTATTAGCAATAACAGTTGAAAAGACAAAGGATGCTATATATTTAGTGATTGTAGATTGTCATAAATGGAAGTTCTTAGTGAGAAATAATACATGCTCCTACCTTTTGGAGAATGAAAAGAGTTGTAGGGAAACAGAATTTTAAACTTATCAAGTTTCTGTTTTTTTCAGATTGCACAAACTCAATAGGCTCGGACTTATCCTTGTGCACAGGTATCTCTTATTTTGTGCAGGATTTCCATATGTACAGTAGTCCAGGCTGCACAGAGTATCTAGAAATTCTACACATCTGTACAGACATTGAGCGGAAAGAAAGTTATTGTGGTGCCCAGTAGCTTCACTTAATTGGAGGATCAAGAAGATTTGACGCTGTAGATGGCAATAAAAGGATCAAAGGTTAATGCCCTGCATAGTTATTACTCTGTGAAGCTGCTGTAGGTTGGAGAGTTTTGAGAAGCATCAGACCTACTATGTATGAGCTGTACAGTTTATATGTGATTGCTCAGTGAATCTAGCATGTCCTGAAGGCATTGAATTTACTGCACATGTGCATACCATGAGTATGCACATATATCTGTCCAGGAGTTCTGGTCATGAAATAGGAGAGCTCTGTAACTTCCAGTGCATGTTGCAAAGTGTGTGACATCTGAGATGAACATCCAGGATTAAGATAAAATTACTGGTGTTTCCAGTGTTGGTACTAATTCACAGTTACCTCTTTAAGTACATAACCATGTATAAATGCATTTGTAATACAAGGCTTTAAAATGGTAAGGAACAGAAACTTCCCAATGGAATTACCTTACTGCAGTATTTCAGGGTCCCAGCATTTACTTTTGCATATTCTATTCAAATGTGATTACTCTCTCAAAATTTTTTTTTTTTACATTGTTGCCTTCCCAAATTGCCTTTCTTCTTGGGATCTTTGTAGTTCAATTTTCAGTGGTTGAGATTGTTGAGAATTTTTTTTTCTTTTTTGAAGGGAAACCTATCACAATTTTTGAGAACTGGAAGCGTCAGTAGTTGAATTTGGGAGTGGGTAATGTGCCTCTTACATGAAGTGCTAGTGGTGCAATTAACTGTATACCACATCCTTTTTATGGAGTGTCTGAAAGGTCAGCGTATATCTGCTGCTCAATGAAGATTATATATTACACTTTTTACCTTTTTCCTTTTATTTGTTTTAGTTATTCTCGTATTCTTCTTTACTAAAACCGTTTGTGACATTTACCAACACAAGTAGAAGCAGGAATAAACCGTGATAAAACCTTGATAAATTGCATCTTTCGGGAAAATAGTGGAATAACTTGCTACAGTAGTTATGTTGTGTTTTACAGGCGCATAAGCAACATCTGTATTTAACAATGATACATCTCTCAAGTCCTCTTCGATTTTATTACATGTTATTTGCATGTTTTATAGCAGTAATTTTTTAAAGACTCCATCAGGTAAACTTTGGTTTGTATCTGATAAAACCCACAAATCCTAAATGTTACATAAACTCTGAAAGACACCATGACTCTGGTTGAGAGAGACAATCAGAACAGGTGCTCAGAAAAGTTCTGCATTATGGAGTTTAAATCCTGTCCGTTAGTTCTTCAAGCTGAATGTTGCCAGCTTGCCAGTGCAGCTTTTCCAGGACAGAGGAGGCTTATAAGTGTATATGTTCAGAAATGCCATGTAGTTTCTTACTAGAATGAAACATCCATGTAAGGTTAGAATAAGAGGGGTTTTTTTGCACATCTGTATTCAAGCACATTGCTTCAGGAGTATTTTTGTTTTGTCCATGAAACTTTTGCAATTATAAACTTAATTTAGTAGGCATTTAAATACCTAAATACTTACAAGTTTGTGTGTAATAGTATCCTATGTAAGCAGTTTTATTTTCAATACAGTAATTTTTAAAAAAGAAATACTATCCATTATGTTACATCTTCATTTATGTTATTATTCCAGATAAACACAAATCCCCTTCGGATATAATACGAAGTTTTCAGAAGAAAAGTCAGTTTAGGACCATTGCTCCAAAAATGGTACCAAAAATTTTAACATCTGGAGTTGTTTCTTGTCTTCAGTCATCTTTGCCTGAGCAAAATACACCGATTTCAGCAGCAGTTTCTAAACCGCTGGTAGTACCAACTCAAAACTACGCTGTCATGCAGGTGGCTGGTCATGAGGGGACTTTTTCTCTGTTGGCCTTGCCATATGTTGCCCCTGCGCTAACCCAAGTCCAGCAGTCAAATGTGACTCCTTCTGAAAACCTAAAGCTGCCTATCCCTAGGTACCAATCTGTAAGAAATAAATTGCTAAGTGACAAAAAATCAGCACAAATCTCTGTTTTGGGTGCACATAACAAGTTTCCAACCAAAGCATCCTTCTCATCACAGCCTTCCCCCGTGACTACTTTAACTGAACACTGTCCTAAAACTCATTCTAGTTCAGATTCAACTGAGCAAGCAATGCTAACAGACCGTGACTCAGCTGAAATTACAATTGCCACATTAGTAAATAAAAGCAATTGTGTGGAATCTGGATCTCCTTTAGTGAACAAAACTGAAATTGCTAGTGGTAATGTTTCTGGACCATCTGTAGTTAAAGACTCTTTTTGCAAGCTGGCAAGTACAATTAATCCCATGAAACTAAGTCTACACTCTGTGAAGACAGCATCTGAAACCACAAGAGAGTCATTCATAATGTCTGAGAAACTAAAGGAAAAACCCACAAATTCTGCAAATTCTGTTGCTGTCCTGTCACCGGCAGTTTTTGGCAGTACAATACAAATGACTCCATCAGCACCAAAAGGAAAACTTCCTATTTTGCCTTACTCAAGGATGAAAAATTCAGTGTTCTGTAAATCTAAGCAGAATAGTAATGTTGTGGATGTATCTGGTCCTTCACTGAGATCTGAATGTGAAAAGATACCAGCTTTGGCAAAAACCTTTCATGTTCCTACCAAAACATACGATAAGCGATTAGCTGTATCATTTACACAAGTCCCCAGACAAACCATTCGAGAAAATACCTTCTCTCCATCCAATAAAGCGGATGTTGACAGTCTTAAAAAATTGAATGGTGCAGCGTCTAAAAGAAGAAGCAGAAAAAGAAGAGCCCCAGATGATTTATTGGCTTTTCAGACCAAGCGAAGGAAATGCATCATTAATAAGTTTAGAGAAGGAAGAGAGAGGATGAAAGTTGATCTTCAGCCACCTGAAGACAAAAAAGCAGAGGCAGTGAAGAAGTACCGTAGTATTAGACCAAAACCAGTGGTAGTTGTGCAGGCTTTTGCACCTCTGACTTCTGCAGCAGTAGTAGAGACACCATCTCCTGACTGCTTAGACCAAGATATTTTCTTAAGTAGTTCACTTCCCAGTAAATATTTAAGTTACAAGCACAGTGATGCTACATCAGCTAAATCAAGTGATTTAAGTAGAAACGTATGTTCAGCGGTACCTAAGCCATCGCATAAATGTCATGTTTGTAACCATATCTTCCAGTTTAAACACCACCTTCAGGACCATATGAACACACATACAAACAAGCGGCCTTACAGTTGTCGAATTTGCCGGAAAGCATATATTCATTCTGGAAGCCTGAGCACACATATGAAACTTCATCACAATGAAGGCAAACCCAAAAAGCTTGTGTGCTGTGAATTCTGTGCTAAAGTTTTTGGCCATGCAAAAGTGTATTTTGGCCACCTCAGAGAAGTGCACAGGGTTGTTATCAGCACCGAGCCCTCTACTAGTGAGCAACAGCTGCAAGATGCCTTAAAGAAGAGAGACGTGAATGTAAAAGAGGCAGAAGAAGCAACAGAGAGGTGAGTGTTTTCATTAATGAAATATTAATGAAAAGGGGATTAAGGTTGTTAGTGAAAATTCATAAACATCACCATTATTAAAATTGTTGCTTTTTTCCCCCCAAGAGAGATTCCTAATGGTTTAAATATTTTGTTAAGGAATCTAGTAAATCCATTAGACCATCCAGTATATTTTAGCTGATTTATTGAATATGAATTATTAGTGACATTTGAATATCCAAAGTAATTTTGCATACGTTCTAGTAATACCTAGTATACTGCCACTATTGATCAGCTGATTTCTCACTATGCTTTCTCTCTTAATCTGTGCTGTCTTCTCTGTCCTACCCATTTTGAGATTTTCCCCAGAAGATAAGTGAACCAATGGCAATAAGTGAAAAGCAATTCATATTTCAGTATTAGCTTGTAGTTTGTTTACCCTATTAAATATCCTTATCCTGTTTCCTTCTCTGGAGTGCTGTGGTCTAATCCATATTGTGTGTTGGTTACTGCTGCTTTTGCAATCACTTATCCAAGTAGAAAAGCTAACGGTTACCCTGTTAAGATGGATAGAATGTTCTTTCATCTCTGCATTATGATTTTGAGGTGAAATTTCTTGACACAGCATAAATGTTGACTTTTTTGTTTGTTCTACTGTGCATTTACTTTCACTGAAGTATGCTTTATTAAGCTCAGGGCTTTAACCTGATGCCTCACTATGACACTACAGTTCAACTTCACACGTTTTGCTTTGCACAGCTCCGCTCTCTGGGACATCAGTTAGAAAGTTTCAAGGTACTGAACCTGAGAAATACCAGTGCTTTTCTTTCAGCCTTACTAGACGTCATGCAGGGAATCATTCAGTTTATTTATTTTGTTGGGTAGTCTGTCTGATGTGTATAAAATACACAGTATTATGTGGTTCTTTTTGTAGATGTTGTGAGAAAGTTTCTGTGGAGATCGTTTGATTGGCTTAACTTAAACCAGGGTCTTGTTTGGTCTGTGTGTATCTGTTTCCTTTATACTGCAGAGCTGTGCTAGATCAATGAGAGGGGCTGTCCAACTGTAAATTAGGCATTTAAACTTAGTTTTAAAACCGTTACAAACTTTTAGGGAAAAAAAAGAAACTTTGAAGTTTCATTGTTTCCGTCTTGGAATGGGAGGTGGGACATGTGGTTTTGCCTTAAATTGACCTTAGATGACTCAGTGTAAACAAGTTAGTTTCTCTTAGTAGTAGGCTACAGATAATCCTCATTTTCAATTTTCTAGCACAGAGCTAGAAGTATTTGGATTGACCTCACTAAATCAGGAACTTAAAAAAAACATTATTAACCTTTTATTGGAAGGCTAGTGTTGTCAAACGATTGTTTCTACCAGGGCTAATTTTGAAGGCAATTCTTACACTCAGCAGTGTTGAATAACACTTGGTTTCAGTTGTTTCCTAATCAGCCTTATTATTTTATTTTTCTTTTTTTTCTGTTCCAAATAAATTAGCTACTGTAGCAACAGTGCCTGTTTTTAATTAAAAGAATGTTTAATGAATGTCATCTCTTGGAATTTATAAGGACAGAAATTGCCATCTGTATTCTGTGCATGGCTAATATTGAAATAGTTCGTATTTCCTTTTTTTAACAGGGGAAGTAAGTGCAATTTTGAGGACCTGTTCCATAACCCAGGAGAAGTGAAATTACAGATCAGATGTGGTCGATGCCAGTTTATTGCACAGTCTTTTGGTGAAATGAAGTTTCACTTATTGTGCTCTCATGGAGAAGAAATCCAGGGAAGAGTAAAGGAAGGGGTTTTGCAAGGAAATAGAGGAGCTAAGGGGGAACTGATCAAACATGCAGCCCACTTCTGGAAACAGCGCAATGAGAGAAGACATTCAGCAAAATGCAGTGCCCATGAGGAGGAGCTTTATACTTTTCCAAAACTGAAAAGACAGATATACTTTCACCATCAAAATAATGTTGATATGTTATCTAAAAGTGAACTGACTCAGTCAGGAAGCGGTGAAGCAGCCAGGGAGATACAGAATGTAGGTTTTGGTGCACCAAGCAAAAAAATAGAAATTTGGTCTAAAGTAGGCTATAACTGCATTTTATGCAAACAGTTATTTGGAAGAAAAGAGGATCTTTGTAATCATTGGCAAAGTCATCATAACTGTGAAGATCCTTCCACTTTATGGACGATTTTTAGTTTGTTATCAAAACAAGGAATTATTGAACTTTCTAATAATGGTGACTATTGAAGCTCAATTATACAATGCTATGAAAAACATCAACTACCTTACCAAATAGTTTATGTTTTTTTGCTGTGTTGCTAAACTAACTCAAGAGATGTATTGCTTTGGAGGTTTGCTTAGTGGATTTGTTGTTTGTTTTTTGTTTTTTTTTTTTTTTCTAAGTTATGCTAACCATTATTTTGTTAAAAAGAAAATTTATTTATCTAGTATCATTCCAGATGGGTACATGCAAGCTGATTATGAAACACTGGACTTAAAAATAATGCTTAAAGAATGTAGCAGCAGCAAATACTCAGTACTAATGGTTAACATCAAGGAAAAAGATTTTCAGGCTAAATTATACTATACACACAGAAATAAATCAATTTCTATGAAGTAATCTCAATCTTGAATGAAATGACAAATCAGACTGGAAGTGTAATTTGAGTCTCAACTATATTTCCAGATTTTGTGGTAAATAAATATTTCTATGCAGTTCTTTGGATCATTTTAATGTGCAAACATGCAGCCAGCATTCAGGCAGTTTATAATCTATAATTTAAGAGCTTTTAATTCTTGTTTTCTTGGTTTCAGTGTTTTCAATCATGTTCATTGCTTTACAGGTTTGTTATTGTCAGGTCTTTCAGGTGTTATGCTCTGTCCTGGTAACAGCAAGGATCTTTGGGTTTTTGAAGTGAAAAATCTACATGTATTTTTTTGCCTGTAGCTCTGGGTTGAAGACAAGTTAGTTGCCACCCCTGACAATGGAACTCTCAAAGCTTGACTGTTTTATGAAAAAAAATATGAGTTTGTTTTAAAAATAATAATCTGAGTTGGTTAGTCCTAAGAAGTTTGACATTCTGCAGGAGACTGCATGTTTCACAGTGAACTTTTAGCATGTTCCTTGCACCTCCTGTGACATCAGCACTACCGCTGCCAGCACCATTAGCACTCTGCCTTTAGCACTTCTGATATGTAGCTTTTGTATCTCTGCAGTTGACCCAGTCTGTGTTTTTAATGGGAGATTGTTCCTTCACTTCTAAGTCTTTGGTACAGGTAATGAGGTTTTTTCACTTGTGTTGGCAGATTTACTGTACTAAAGGAATTGCGTGCAGCACCTTAACCTTCCAGTATCAGGAGCCAGTGACAGTTACCTTACCGGGATGCAAAGCTGTGGCAGCCTGAAGTGCAGGAATGGTGCCTTCTGTGTCCTCCGGCTGCGGAGCGGGCACGGGAAGTGACCATTTCAGCACCTCTCCAAGGGGGCAACTCAGTTCAGGATATAAGGAGATGGAGTTCTGGAGCTCAGTTTTGATGAAAAGGTCATTGAAGCCATTGAACCTAGTTTGAAATCGGTGTTTAAACCACTGTTACTTAAAGCCTTATGTACCTCTGAACTATTTTGGGAGCAATAATGGAGACAGTGTAAGAAATCACTATATCTCTGTGCAACAGAAGCCAGAGCATGTCAGAGGGCAAACTGAAAAATACACCACTACTGTCTCTACAGTACTACTCTATTCATTTCTTCTTGTGGTCAAGCTGTATTTGAGGGATTGCAGTGATGAAGGAGTCGTTCCTAAAATGTCCTGCTTTGCCTCACTGTTTTGCAAGAGTTGTGATGAGAACATGAGGAGAGATCTAAAAATGCTGGGTCTTCTGAGTGGGATTCCAGAAACTGTTGCAATATTTTGTGTATGTGTTTTGGTTTTAAACAGTAGAGGCAATTTTGATGAGCTAATACTTTTGAATGTAATTTCTTGTTGTATGATGCTTTGCCCTGGAGTTGAACTATAAGACTGGAGCCAAGAAAAATATAAGACAAAAGGAAAATGTTCATAGAACTGTACAGGTGCTTGGTAAGGTGGAAGAATCCCTGTGGATTTTCAGAACTTCCTTCCTACTATCTGTTGGTCTAAATGCATATTTGTGGTTGTTTCTTTGCCTTTGTATATTACTTTTGTATGCTGAACTACTTTAAATACACTACTAGTTCTTATTCTTGACACACCCATCTTTTAATGCCTACAGTATATTCATATTTATTTTCACTGGGTAGATGGAGGGAAATGTATGGCGTATTTGGAAAGGAATAGCTAATTTTAAAGTCAGTGTTTCATATCAAACTGAGACTATATTTAACTTAGTAGAGTGTGTTTGCATTTAGAAGTGTTTTTCCCCCCAACTCAATCCTTTAACTTTCAAAATCAAACAGCTTGATGTTTTCCCTGAAACAGAAATGTGAGAACAATCCCTCCTTCACATAGTTACAGTACATCAAAGGGAAGTTAATTCCAAGCATAAAGTGTGCATTTTAAGTGTTGGGCAAAAAAAACATAAAAAAGGTTTGATCACATTCATTATTTAGAGCAGACATTAAATCACCTTTCTTGTAAAATCACCCTTCTTGCAAAACCACATATGCCTATACTGTACTATATTTTAAGCTATACCAGTTTAAAAGGAGCTGAAATGAATGCAGCTCTGAGATTAAGTCCCTCCTGTTCAGGAACAGCACCAATGATGGCAGAGCTGTGCTTCCAAAAATATTTTCAAACAGTGTTTGTTAAAAATGGTGGTGCATCAGCCCCAGTGATACAGGTGAGTTGTTTGGTTGTGGTTAGCAGGCAAGCAGACTCACTCGCTTTCATTTGGTGTAAAAGAAGAGGGAGCTGCAATGATGATGGGAGGAAGGAAGTTTGGGATACAAGAGAGTTGAATTTTTTTTAATTGAAATTTTCATATACAGTCTTTTCATCATATTTTTTTACTTCTCTCCCTTTCTCTAGTCCAGGCCAAATGGGCAAAGGGGTTTCAGCTTTCAGCAATTTAAAGCCTGAAAACATGTTTTTAAAGCATGGTTCTAAGGCACTTCTCAGTGTCCTCATAAATGTTTAAAATTAGAAGCCTTTTTTTCTGAGCCTGAAAGCATTCTTATGTTTCAGGCAGTTTGATTATGGTAGATTATGAAAGGTTGGGATTTTTGAAAGTAGCTTTGCATTAAATACAGATGTGTCCTTTGTTTAAAATGTGTTTGTTTTGCATTTATGTTCATTTTGATAACATTTGGAAGTATGAAGTGAGACCTATTTACAGCAACATTAAATATTGTGTGTTTGCTGTTCAGCGGAAGGGTTGTTAGGAACACAGTTTGCTGTTTACCTTCAAGCTGGACAAGTTAACATCTGGTTTTGCACATAAATTATATTTTTAAGTTGTTAAAATGAATGTTATTGGTTTTGTAGCTGTAGTTTTGTTCCCCTCTGATTTTTCATTAAATCTCTGTTTCAGCTTCACTGTTCAACTTTAAAGTTGTTCCTCACATGGAAAGTTGTTCCTTCATCATCACACCATAAATAATCAAAGCTGGAGGAGTTCCATTGCTTCTCTGGCTTACAGAGTATTGCCCTTCTCCAGCTGCAGAGCTACAGTTTCCTATGGCTAACTTGACATAGTTGCTGGCAGTAAATGTTTGACTTAATTTATTTATTAAAATTTAGATCTCTGCTGTTTAGATCCATCAGAGTTTCTGTCGTGCCTCATTAGATACTTATCTATTATTCACTGAGCTCTTTAGAGGAAGTGTCATAAGAAGGATGAACAGGTATTTAAGAGAGCAGATTTCAGCCCTCACTTTGTGCAGATGATGCTGACATTTGAGAATCACCAGCTTATCTAGGCTCAGCCGTGTAGTATATTATATTTCTACAACACATCCACCTCCATGCACATCTATTTTGGGATTAAAAGTATACTTCAAATTCAGCTGTCAGTTACTATTATCAAACCTGTACAATGTAGGTTTGTGATTATTATGCATAGAGATTAAAATGCTATTAACTGTAGTAGGTTTATTTGTCAAATTCCTTATAGCTCTGAAAAATTAAAATCTCTGCGGGCTGAGTATGACACAGACGAAATCTGGTCACATGAAGAAAATTCTGATGGCTTAAATGTTGTCCTCATTTCAGTGTGTGCTTTTATAGCTGATCTGTCACACTGTAGGATTTTCTCCACGTTTTATTAAATTGACATAATTTTTCTTGGTTAGGAATACTGAAAAAGACCTGAGTCTGCAAGTAAGCTTCATGAAAAAATGTGTTTACTTCCTTTTTCTGTACAAGCAGACACATCCATGGAATCAGAATAGTCTTGGTGGCCTTACATATACATGCACAATATGGGGCAACATGCAAGATTTGGGCTTCAGCGTATGACTGTGTGGCTGACTGTTCTGCAGTTCCAAAGTAGAAGCTGCAAATTTGAGTGTAAGAATAGTTTGGTTTTCAGACTTGAGTAAATTTCTAATAAGTTATTGACAAACCTTCAAGAAATCCTAAAAAATTACAATAGCATACTTCTCTACTTGTGCTTTGCTTGACAATTTTATTGACATACTAGTACCAGTAATGTTCTAAAATATGATAGGTTTGGTGCTGTCAAGTAGAAATGAAACTTTCTCCCTTTCCATTTTTTTCTCATTTTATTGACTTTTTTGTGTAAGCATTCAAAATTATGGGATGAATTATGATTTCTGCTGCTGACAAATCCAGAAACATTATTCTGCAGTTATTTTGCAGAAACTTCCGATTTTAATTTAGAATAATAGATGAAATCAGTGAAAAGAAAATTCTTTTGGAAAGAGATACATAAGCAGACTGTCCCATATGAGGATATCTCTGCACAACTACACTGCTGTAGATGAAATTTAATGGCAATAGATATTCTACTGGTAGGTACAAACATTTTGTTCTTATCCAGAGTTACTTAGAGTGGCCAAGGGAATTAAGAATTTTAAAATGTCCATACTTTCTCTTTGATTTAAATTTTGTTAAGTATTTCTGCTCTTGTGCCAGTGCAGATCATGCTCCAAGGCATGTAGATGCTCAGGCACTTTCTAGAGGACTTACAGCATAATTCAGTGAAGGAAATGGGAAGAAATATGTGAAGAAAGTAGTGATGATGAAGGTTGGCACAATGTATTGAATATAAGCTTCAGTATGACTAGCCTGTGATGGTACGCATATGTGGAAATGTCCTGTAGCCTTAGCCTGAACTTCTCCCTTCCACCCGCTGTAGTTACATGGTTCCACGGTTATGTGCTGTTGTAAAAGACTAGAATGTCCCATCGCCTAGTTAGAATCATAGAACAGCATCACAGAAGTTCCATAAAAGCATCTCACAGAGATGTGATGGTAGAAAACAGCAATTCAGAGATACTGGGACTGAGATTCTTTCTTTCCTCTTTCCTTCCTCTCTTTTCTTTCTTTCCTATTTTTCTTTCTTTCCTCTTTCTTCTCTCTTTCAGTGTTTCACTTTTTGGAAACCATTTATGTTGCTGTTCCCACTGGTCCATTAGCAGTGGTGGAGTCACAAGTGTAAACAAGGCTTCAGTATAGTAGCTGATATTTTAAGCACTGTTATAAGCAATTTTATGACATTTGTAAAGAAAGCACAAAACTTGGGACAAAAAAATCTCTTCAAACCCAAATAGAGTTATGGGTTTAGTAATGAGAACTTCTGGCACAAATCCCTGTTGTTTTTTTGGTTGTAGACCATGGCCAAGCTTCTTGCCTGCCTGTGTGAAGCAGATTTACACTCCTTTGACTACTCTGCTTTTTCTGGGACTTCAGGCTCAGCACCTTTCATGTGCAATGAATATACTGCTTTTTTCTACAATTGATATAGGACAAAAATAAAGCATTTTATTTCTTGTATGCTAAGTAATTTTGTGGAACTTCAGGTTTAATTTGACTTTTGAACGTACACCTGAAAAAGGAGATCAAGATACCTTCCTACAGCTAGAAGCAATAAATGACGTAGTGAGAGAGGAAAGCAGTAAATATCCCTGTGACGATATCTTTGAAGCAATGCAGTTGCTTTCCACTGGAAGTTTAATTCATGTTTTTAGTTGAAAGTTTTATTAATTTTAACTGAAGTAAATACACTGCAATGCTTCAATATTTAAATAAATCCTTTTTCAGCTCCGAGTCCTTGGAGTTTGAATCCTGTCCAGCCATTTTCTGCTATCTGCCAATTCCTTGCTAAGTGCAAACCTGACACTCTTGCCAGTAAATCCACCTTTGTGCCATTTAAAGTCATCTGCTGTCTTTTCTCTGGAGCTAATCAAAGTTTGAAAGATGTTTTTTAAAAGGAACCAGCTCTAGAATTCAGGCCATTTAAATTGTGCAAGTTAATTAAGAGAAATTGCAGCAAGCTATAAAATAGAGACCTGGTACAAATTGTTTGAAAGATCACTTATTTTTATTCTCTTTTACGAATAATTGGACAGGAAGTTTTCCAGGGAAGAATTTGGGGGTTTATGATGTTTTGTGTGCTGCTCTCCTAATGCAGTGTTTAGACTCTCCTGAGTACAGCACAGCAGAGCCCAGCCATGCTTTGTAAGTCGATTGCAGTCTGTTAAAGCACCATTTTATTTTTGCCATGTGAGACAGCTGGGCTTTTAAGTGGATGGGATACCAGCACTCTGGGAGACAACCGTGATGTCTGCACAGGTTAATAATCTCATGTCCTTCAAGAGCAGCATTTCTATTGTCTTTATACATACATACACAGACAATCACACACAGAATTATAAAAGGATTAAGTCTGTGGAACATTTTTAAATTGTGTGACAGTGTCACACTGTATTATGTGTTCCAGCTATTTTTCTTTTATTAAAATGCAATAACATTGCATTTTTATTGTCATTATTATGTTGGTAATATATCTGTGGTAGATCTGAACCCTGAAATGCACAGTGGCCACCTGAGTTCTTCCAGGGAATTGGATTAATTGTTGAATTGTTGGAATTTCTTTTAAAAAATGTGCTACTCCTGCTGGTTAACACCACATGTAGGGTTTAAACGATATTTCTGAGAGTGATTTATTGGTCCAGCAGAAAATTCTGGTACTAAACCTTTCCGCTGGGATTTGCTTACATTAGGAAGCAATGCAGGTGGCAGTCTATTTCAACGCAGAATGGATTTTTTCCCCTTTCTTTCTGATAAATGAAGTGCTTATGTAAGGTGAGAGATTGGGGAAAAAAAAAAAAATGAGAAGCCTGAAGCCCTTAGAGGATCCGTCTGAAAGCTCCACACGTGGGCAGAGGGATACAGGGTAGGTCTGATGCAGTTTCCCTGCTCACTTCTGGCGTGATGGGAGCCCCTGGCTGCGCCACGGCCAGCCAGCCCCGGGACGCTGCTCAACAAAAGCTCCTCATCACAGCCAGGAGTTCGCATTTAGAAACTTTCAGCATCATCTGCAGCACAAGAGGGTATTTTGACACCAAAATCATTTTGTCTGCCACTTGATAATATATTGTTCCCATTTCTTCATGGTAGGCATCCTTTATTCTTCAAGTCTTTGTCTTGTGTTTTCATTTTGTGCATAATGGGTAAGATCTCAGTTTGACTTAGTACTGAGCAGATTGTCTATTCTGAAGCTTTATTGTATGCGAGACCACGCCCTTTGGTTACCACTAATACATATCATCTTTCTCCCAAATTATTTATTTGGTGTCATTTAATGACAAACATTTGATAGTTTTTACTGTCAAGTATTATATGTAAATCTCCTAACAGTGTCATACTCTTAAATTACTGTAGTGCTTGATTAAATTAGCCCTTTTAAAAGGGATCCAGGTTCACTAATAGCGTTTCCTGCAATGCACATCTCTAGAGAAAACTGAGATCTGACTTTTATAGTCAGAACCAATTAGGCTTAGCCTTTTCCCCCCCCTTTCTCTCTGCAGCCTTCAGATGAATTGCATTTTTCAGGCACAGTTCAAGCAGACTGTCAGGTCTCTGGGGCGCTCTGCCTCCTGGGCTCTGCATTCCTACTGTCAGCTGTGAAAAATAATTCCCCTTTTGCAGTTGTGTCCAAGGAAAGTAAGATGATAAATCCACAAGTTAGATTTAAGAGGGGGGGAAGTGCATTATTGTTTACTCAGCATTGAATAAGGTTTTGTTCTAGGAGATACGGCTGCTGCAAGGCATCGGAAAGCATTCTTGGATTTAAAGTTTTCTAGTTATGAAGTTGTTAGGATTCATTCTCATTTAAAATTTAGGGAATGGTTCTTAGTCAAAATATTTTGGGAGTACCTAAAATGTGGCAGTGGTATTGAAAAACACTTGGCTGAAAAAAAATAGGAAAAAATAAGTGAACTGTAAATACAATGTAATGAAGCCTGGAGAATCAACAAAAAATTCCCAGTATGTGCAAGCTATCTGTAACTTGCTTCTTTCATATAAAATTAACAGTAGAATAGACTTGCTGTTCAACTGCTCTGATGAAACAGCAATATAATTAAACAGAACTTTTGAAGCAGAAGAAAATGTTAGATTTTTTTAGCCTTGGAGGACTGAGAAGTTCTCCCTGAGATAGGGGAGAGGTGCAGGTACAAAGTTAGTCATTTGGAATCATTGCTCAGTTCTCTGTGCAGCATTTGTTTGCAGTATTATATTATTTCCCCTAATGCCAAAGTAGTACTTTGCTGTGTGGAACAGATGCTAG